CACATATCTATATATATATATATATATATATATATATATATATATATATATATATGTATGTTACACGTGTAAATTGATATTGATAACTTATTTGTTATGATTTAATGATTACTATGCAAACAAAATGCCACAATCTTGTATTCTATGGTGTAAAGCACACATATATATTTGAAATATGCTACTGATGATCTATTAATTAGCAATATTTTATCTGTGATTATAACCATTATGACAGCCAGATATACCATATACTTGTTATACCTTGTTGTGCAAACAAAATCAACTTTGCCATTATAAACATACCCATAAAATTTAAAATTTTATAGATAATATGTAATGGGTGTATATCTATATAAGTATCCACAGGGACAGCATTTTTGCATGTGTTATTGCACCACTTGAAAATAAAAACTCTTATAGCATATCCTTAGGCGTAGATGCATGCGCGTATCAATGCACAGAACATGTAAAATTCAAATTATTCAACAACCCATGTCATTTTGTTTATAGTTTCCTTTTAATGCAAGTCAATTTATGCATATTATATACATATACACCCACCCATATATATATATATATATATATGTATGTATAGTTTTCTTCCCGAAGTGCAATGGTTGACTAAAGGGATTAAAGAAAACATTAATTTGGAACAGAGATATGAAGGAAAATGAAAGAGAAGGGTAAAATGGGGAGAAACCCGTATCGAGATTTGCGATAATGGAATCTTCTCCGAATCTGGCTTTGGTCCAAATGGAAGATGAAGGAGTGAACCCATCGTGTTCGAGTCCCATGAAGTCCCATGAACGAGTCGTGTGAAGCTTCAACCCCCTGTTTGGAAACACGGATAGCACTTTTGGGTGCTCTGAAATTTAAAAAATAAAACCAGAGCATGAGCTAAAAACCAGAGACAACTCTTTTGTCCAGAAAACAGAGCACAGAGAGGCAGATTCTTTTTTTTTTTTTTGGCTTACTGGAGATTGCAGAGACGGTGGCGTCGTCGAGATGAGCAGCGAAGCCATTGATGTGCTTTGTGTACGAGTAGAAGATTTCGTCTTTGGCTCGTTCACGGCTGTTTCAGACAATGAATTCATCAGACAACCAAAACAAAAAACAGAGCATGATGCAAAAAGAGAAATGGGTTTTTTATTTCGAGCCACGATGATCGACCTCCCGGTGAATGATCCAAGAAACTCGTAATGGGACTCTCTGACACGATCCACGACGTCTGGCGTAATCTCATCGCCATGGGAGTGACCTCCGAAGTAGACAACATACGACTGCAATCAAAATCACTGTCACTAAGAAGACGACAACGACAAAAATAAAGACGGAAAAGTGATGAACTTTCGAAATCATTGATCGGGAAAAAGTGTTTGCCTTTTCGGAAGCAGAAGTGGGTCTTGGACAATGATGAAGAAGAAGAACGACAAGGAGAAGAGAGGATAAGGGAAGTGCAAGCTTCATTGTTCTTCTTCTTCTTCTTCTTCTTCTTGCTCTCTCTGTTTCTTTGTTTGACTTTCTGTTTTGGTAATGACTAATGAGCTGCTTCTTATAAAGGGAATGGAGACAGACGAGACGGCCGAGTTTCTTCCGCCTCTCTTTTTTTTTTATCTGTAATTTTTAAAAATAAAAATACTCCATATTTTATAAATACTACAAGTACGAGTAGACTTTATTACACACGAAGATTTATTAAATTGGTCTATATCTTGAACGATATTTGAAAATTAACAAATTTCAAGGTTTTAAAACTAATATTTTAACTATCCAAATAAGAAAAATAATTCCTAAAACAATATACAGTAGCATTTTAAATAAAAAAAGTTGATAGAGTGACCTAAATTTGGGTAGTTTAAACGGTGGAACAGACGCAAAATTTATATTTCGTTTCGAGTTTGAACCTTAAATTTAGAGGGTAAGTTTATATTCCAAATCATTTTCGATCTCAGGATTAATTTGAATATTGGTTTTAGATAATCGATTAATGGAAAAAAAAACTGATGAAGTGGTAAAACAATTACATAAAACCTATTATAAGAACTATTGCATTAAGAATTTTAAATTTTAAAATAAAAAATTCATAATTACTGTTTTTTTTTTCACAAATTCCTCTTCCATATGTTTGAAATTTTTTGCTATAAGTTTTTAATATTTTTGGTATGCTTCAAAAAGGTAAAACAATGCCAAACGGGAAACACTATGATTATCTATATATATATATATATATATATATATATATATATAAAAGGTATATGCATTCGATTAGATTCATCAGGTTGTCATACTGCGTGCCAATAATTGAACTTCACTCCCATAATTGGGAGATTATTTTTTATATAGTTATTGGTAAAGTGTTGATTTATTATATCCTTATTCATATATATTTAGACAATTGTATCAATTTTTTTGTAAGATTTTATTTGGGACGTTACATAATTGAGTTAAGATTTGATTTTTAAAATTAAAAAGTATTATTTTGTTATTTTTCTAACCATTTAAGATTTTGTTGATTTGAAGTAGACCATTCAATTTTAAAATCAGATTCACTTTTCTGTATAAAATAATTAATTTAAAATTTGAATTGAAAAACTATAGAAGAAAAGGAGAAGAATATACGATGAGTGAAAGTATGAAAAGCACAGATAGAAAGAAGGATAACATATTGGACCAATAATGTTGGATTCATATATTCTTCAATGGGCCCTTTCAAACTTTTACCCTTTTAGAATAATGTAACCGAATCATATATATTATCACAAAAATATTATATATTATAATATCTACATATGGTTACATGACTTGTAAAACTTGACACAAGTGATTTATTATCCAAAAGGGCAAAAAGGAGGTGTGTATATTATATATATATATATATATATATATTATAAATGTCTTTGTGCTAATGAATGTGATTTAGCAAAAAATATATCAAAATGATTTTCAAAATAATTTTGGATATAATTATATTTTATTTGATCTTATTTGACGTTCTAGTAAATAGCATTAGCACCCTAATAAATATAACAAAAGTTTATGTAATACTATTTATTTATGGGTCCGACTGGTTGTACCGTAACGGTTGCGGTTGCGGTTGCGGGTGATAGCGTTTTCAGAGTGTTTGTTAGGGTTCGACTGGTTATACCGCAGCGGTTACGGTTGCGGGTGGCAGCGTTTTCAGAACGTTTGATAGCGATTATAAATGATTAGTACTGACTGGTTGAGAAGTTGCTGTTGGTAGCGATTGCGGGTGGGTGCAGTTAGAAGTGAATGGTTCATTACGGTTACGGTTGCGTTTTGATATAAATTGTTAAAAAAAATATATTATTTAAAAATAATTTTTTATAATAGTTTTAATTAAATTTTTCGTATCATTTGATAAAAATTATTTACTAAATTTATAATAATTAAATAATAAATTTAAAATATAAATATTATCAATTTAATTTATTTTTAAGTAAAAAAATAATTTTATTATAAAAATTATTAAAAATAATCATTATTAAACTTAAAAATTATACTATTATATTTTTTTTATTAAAATATAATACTAAAAAATAATATCAAATCATAACACTAAACAAAATCATCACCAATATATATATTAATGTTTTATATAATTTCTAATAAAAATATTTTAGTTTTTTTGTCAAAACGCCGGAAACCGCTACCAAAACGCAAGTTGGAAGCTGCGATTAGAAAACACAAGTTTGGTTGCGGTTGCGGTTGGTTGCGGTTCAACCAGTCAGTTTTTCAATCCCCCGCAACCGCCAGAAATCGCAACCGCTCCGTTTGCGGGTGGCGGCGGTGCAACCAGTCGCCCCCTTAGTGATTGTAGGCGATTGGTACTGACTGGTTTGTAAATGACTGTTGATGGCGATTGCGATTGGTTGCGAATAAGAGTGAATGGTTGTACACAGTTGCGATTGCGTTTTGATGTAAATTACCAAAAAGTACATGATTTTAAGATAATTTTTTTAAATCAATTACAATTATTTTATATTATCATTTGATAAAAAATATTTTATATAATTTATAAATAATATATATATAAGATGTTAAAATATAAATTCTATCAATTTAATTTATATTTAATTAAAAGCCATCAAAATCTCCCTAAACAAATCTATTTTAAAAATAACGAAGGTTGAATACAAACCGTCCAACAACATGGACAGTTAATCAGCAAGTAGCGAAGGTTGGTCCATCTTACTAAAATTGAATACGTCGACATCTATTTTACAAACCCAGAATCAGAAAAGATGCAATTAAACAATAATGGAGGTTTCACTTGAAGAGCTTCAAATCGAGTAGAGATCTGAAGAGTTTTCAAATCGCCAGAATCAGAAAATTTAAAGAGATGATCGAACCGGAACATGGCTGAAAAACTAGACAACACAAAACGAAACAAAAAACAAAATCCGAAAAACCAGAAAGGAGAAAGGCAAAACAGAGACATCTTGGAGACGACGGAGATGATGAGCTCCGGTGAGTTCTCGTGTGCTCCAGTTATTTGAGGCGGAGAAATCGGCAGAAGTTTAAACAGATAAAAGAGAGTTAGGGTTGAGATGATGATCGATGTTCGCGAGAGAGAAAATAGAAATAGTTTTAGTTTTTTTACAAGGATATTTTAGTCTTTTAACTTAAACGCAAATGAAAAGCGGCGTTTAGATTCTTCAACATTTATTGCGGCTACGTTTCCCTGCGAGTTCACCTGTCGATTTCGCAACCGTTACCACCCGCCAGAAATCGCAACCGCTCCGTTTACGGGTGGTAGCGGTGCAACCAGTCACGCCCATATGTATCTATAAAGCACAATAATCCTGATTTTAATTACCGAATTAACTTTTTAATTATCAATATAATAAAAATATGATATAATATTAACAAATTTCCAAACTATACAAACCAATAATAATTGTCGTGTATACCATTATGTTTCTCTTCAACTTTTATAATATGTGAAATTGTTTGTCTTGCCATAAAGATTAAGTTTTCATTATTTCAAAATCTTATTATGAATCCTTTACCATTTACTGCATTGATCCAGAGTATGACTAATTTTAATATATAAAGTTTAAAGATATCGGTTTATACTTGAACGCTATTCAGTACATTTCATATTTTATAAAAAAAAAACTTGTTACAATCAATTTTCTTGCTTTCTAATCAAACATAGATCCGTACATATTTAAATTATTTTTTAATGGGCAGATTTTTTTTTTAATAAAGAGAACTATTTTGAACAAAGAGAAACTATTTTTGAGACAATCAATTGTATTTTTAACAGTTTTATGTATAAATCGAAAATAACATATATAATTGTGGTAGATAACGTGGACCAACGACTCGAATATGACAAGAGAGATTCTAATGTTTTCACTTGTAATTTTAAATTTCATTATTTGTTGGTTCTTGAATGCCTGCTTATTTTTACAAAAAAAGTTGGAAACATATGTACAATAGATTAGGATCCGATATTTCGGATATATTTTAAAATCGTTTAGTTTTGTAGATTTTTTTCTTTAATAAAAGTTATATTAAGTTAATTTTTTATTATCAATTTTTAGATCGGTATTATTAAAAAGTGTATTTTTAAAGTATTTTTAAAAAATCATAATCCAATTATCTTATTTAATTTATATAAGATTAGATGTTATTCAAAATTTTAATATACAAATCTAAATGCTAACCACTACGAATGAACCAAAAAATATGTAAAATGAAAAAAATAAAGAATATTTTGTAGTATTTTACGGAAAAAGACAACTGGCGATGAGGAAAAACCAACTGGATATTTTTTTACCAAAACAAAGAAACGACCAACTGGATAGAGAAGAAAAAAAAATGTTTTTTTTTCTTATTTAATTTTTAATTTCTCTTCGATAAGGTTCTGTCCCCTTTAACCTCCTTGCGTGCGCGTCTTTGGTTTACACGGAGTTCTCTCCTCCTCTCGCAGTCATTCAACCATCTCAACCATTCTCCAATTCGAATCCTCCTCCAGATTCCTTCCCCAGAATCCAAAATCCCACCTTTCAATCTTTCCTCATTCGTTTCCTCTCATCCTTTTCCTTGTTCTTCGTCTCTGCAGAAGCCTCTCTGATCTCCGATCACGTCGGGTTTTCTCCGGACTCGATCGGATTTAGGGAATCCCGAAGGCGAAATCCGAAGTGGGTCTCGACGGATTTCAATGAAGAGGTGACAATTCGGTAGAGAATCTGCATTACATTTGGATTTGTTTAGGAAAGAGGGGGATTTCGTCGTTTTGGGGGGGAATTTTCCTGGGGAAGAAGAATCATGTCCTTTAGGTCACAATCGGTGGGGAGCCAATTCGCGGAGAAGCTAACAGAGGATCCAGTGACGTATAAAACGGCTCAGAGCACCGTTACGTGCACATACCAGACGCATATCGCCGGATTTTGGAGGAACGTAACGATCCTATGGTCGAAGAACATGTTGAACCATTCGCTTACCGTGATGGTCACTAGCATAGAAGGAGATATGAATTACTGTTGTAAGGTTGATCTCAAGCCATGGAACTTCTGGAACAAGAAAGGGTACAAGTCATTCGAGGTGGAAGGCAATCCCGTCGAGGTTTATTGGGATTTCAGGTCAGCCAAATTTGTGGGGGGTCCCGAACCGAGTTCAGACTTTTACGTGGCCGTGGTTTCAGACGAAGAGGTCGTGCTTCTGCTCGGGGATTGCAAGAAGAAAGCCTTCAAGAGAACAAAGTCGAGACCCGCATTGGTCGAGGCTGCCTTGTTCTACAAGAAAGAGAACGCTTTCGGGAAGAAGAGCTTCGCAACTAGGGCTAAGTTCAATGACAGGAAGAAAGAGCATGAGATCATCGTTGAGAGCTCGACATCGGGGCCTAAAGATCCCGAGATGTGGATTAGCATAGATGGGATCGTGTTGGTTCAGGTGAGAAACTTGCAATGGAAATTCCGAGGGAATCAAACTGTGTTGGTGGATAAACAATCTGTTCAAGTGTTTTGGGATGTGTATGATTGGTTGTTCAGCCCCCCCGGGACAGGCCACGGCCGGTTCATATTCAAACCGGGAGCTGTGGAAGAGAGCGATAAGGAAGGAAGCGGGCATTTCAATGGCAATGACAGTGATGCGAGCATCGGAAGCAGGTATTACTCGACAGCAAGCAGTGTTTGGCCTCCTGAGTTCTGTCTCTTTCTTTATGCCTGGAAACTGGAGTAGTTGCAGATGAAATCTTCCATTGTTTGGACAGAAAAATGCTTCATTTTCTTTCTTTCTATTCTTTTTCTCTCTCCATGGGTGTATATCTCTTGTAATGTTCACCAACATCATCGTGTTCAAGACCTGATGATGTCAATGTTAATGCACAGGATACATTGTATTTGCTCATGAGAATTTGTCGAATTCACCTGATATGTCAGTAGTGCAGGCCATTTTCTGGGTTTCGACATTGGATCAAACTGATTAGAATTGAGCCGTTGTCCTCAAATATGAAGCTGATGTTTGTTCCCACATTCCAGGAGCCTAGTTTTGTCCGAATTCATACAAAGTCGAACTCTTTTGACAACAATAAGGAAAAAGATCGAAGCTTTGTCTCTGTCACCTAAAATTGATAGATCACGAACTCAATTTGGATCTTTGCTCGGAATTGAAGCACAAAAAAGAAAACCCTTTCACGAAAAATCTGTAATTTGAATAAACAGAGAGATGGTTCGCATTTTGGAGTACCGGAAACTCGTCGGAGATTGTACGGACGGCGACGAACAGAGAAACGTCGGGTTCGGCTCTTCGCGAGTTGATCGATTTCTCTCTTAGATGGGTTGATATGAATCAAATGCAAATTGTGGGGTTATATTGTAAATAAGTAAAATTATTGGTTTCATTTAAAATACCCCAGAAATGAACCACCGGTGTGATTTTCCAATTGAGTGCATTTTCCCGCACAATTTATCTTCAATTTTTCCAATTTCAAACCCTAGAATTTGAAAAATCTCCCAGAATCTTCACTTCCAGTTCCCATGGCGTCCAAAGACCTGGAAGATCCGAGCAGCAATATCGCCGGGACGGACGAGGAGACCGTTGCTCTCCGACGTAAACGGCTCCGGAGAGTGAGCTTCGCCGACCGGGAAATCACCTCCGTCCACATTTTCAACCGGGACGAAGACTACGAGACGCCTCCAAATTCCTCCGCCTCAAAGCAGCGCAACGGTGAGCAAGTCGGAGAAGAAGAGTCCGAGGACAAAGTGATTAGGTTCTTCGGGGAGTTAGCTGATGGAGATGATTCCAGGGAGTTGCTGTGTTCTCCGGACGGGGAAGGAGACGCTGATGCTGATGCTGATGACGAGGTTGTTGTCGGGAAGCTGTTCTTAAGGCCGAAAGGTTCGCCATCTTCTGGAGGTAGCACTGTTGGTTCTGCCACGACCGATGACGGTACACTTTGATTGCCTCATTCTTTTTGCTCTCTGTTTCTTTTGCATTCGTATTTGCCTTTATTTTGATTGAACTTCTGCAATTGATATTGAGAAATGCTTGCAGTGACTCTGGCTTTCTGTTGACATTTCGGTGTCCCAGTTTTCGCTCTATGATTCTTTCTTGTAGGTTTTTGCTTATGTATATGATGAACGGATGTTGAGTTGTAGCCACTTTGTTTTTGCTTGTAGAAAATTTCTTCGGTCCCGTGTCTGCCCATTTTATCAGACCAGGAAGATTGTCTGGCTCTGCTGCCTCCGAAGAAAACCATGAGCTTACAATGGATTCAACAGCATTTTCTATGCATTTCCGAAGTCTTGTTATGTCAGAGCCAGGAGACACAAAGACCCCTACAAGCAGCCATGTGGCTGTGGAAGAAAAAACACCTATTCAAGTTACCCCTAGGTCTGACACAGGCAGTGTTATGGTGTTAACTAAAGCTAAGAAGCTATTCCCTAAATCTCCTTTACCCGTTGACAAAGTCAGTGGGGGGAGAGATTCGAATGACATGAGTCTTGTGGGTGACAACTCTCATAAGTATGATTATGCGCGTCTATCTCCTACTCTAGAAGCCATGTTGGCAGCTGAAAGTAAGGCTTCACACCCTGTGTCCACGGTTGATGATGTTAAGCCAAGATCACCTGGATATGATTTTTCCTCTTCCCCTAGAAATAGACCCAGCCCCACAAGTCAAAGATATAAAGAGATGCATGGCACAACTGGGATTGACGCTTGTCAGATACAGACGCCTGATAGTGCAGTTGGAGAACCGTTTTTGCAGAAGGAGTCTGGTAGCCAACTTCATAGGGAAGGGGTTTCGCTATCCTCCTCAACTAGTAGGAGGCTGGATTTGTCTTTAGTCACCGCCGATGAGCCCAAGTCCTTATCTTGCGTGACACCTTCCCCGAAGCAGCATGGGAGCTTTCTGAGGAGAAATACTTTAGCACTAGTTGAGAGCCTATCATCCATCCAGAAAAGCAAATCCGGATTTCGTTTGATCAATGCAACCTCTCCTGCCTCAGCCCTTTTGGATAGAATTGAAAAATCAAAGCTTGTATTATCAGGATACCGTTCTGTACCTACCCATTCCAGTATGGGCAGTCAAGGAGTAAGTAAAGACCTCCAGGAAAAGCATGTAGGTGTCCCTGTTACTAACTTGGAGGATGAGTTATCTAAATATGATAACAAAACACCGACTCATGAAAGCAATGGCACAACAAATAAGAATAATGGTGACATATCGAGCCCTGCCATTGACATCGATGTCTATCCAACAAGCGTTCAATCTCTTCAGGATGTGTTTTCACGCATTACACAGGGGGAAACTACAAAGTCTCTGGAAGAGGATTCATTCTTAAAACAGCAGGAACACAACCATTTAGTTGCAGAGAATCCTACTGAGGAAACAGCCGCAGAAAGAGGATTGACAGAATCTGTTTCCTTATCAAGGGAGATTACATTTGATTTTAGAAACAATCCAAAAGCGAGCACCCCTACAAAGTGTGTGTCACCTCCAGAAAATGAATCAAATGTGAAAGTGCCATCATCAGCCAATAATGTTGATCTTGATTTTCAAGGTCAGGGCAGTGGATCGATCAGCAAAAGTCGAAGAGAGAATGACAATTTAAATGAGGAATGTATGTCTGCCGATTCTATGATTGTTGCATCTGACAAAGTGCATTCCCTGATTGCTGAGGCTGGGTCATTACTGACAGAGACTGGCTTCTTGGATGGAATTGCTCAACTAAAAGGGGAAAAAAGTGTGCTGAATGAGATCCAGAACACAATTAAAACCACTAGTATCACACAGTCTCCTTTGAAGGTTAAGAATTACATGAAAGTTCATCCTGGAAGTCCCAATAAGCACCTTCATATTGCAACACAAGTAATCTGCTCAAATGAAGAGTTTCCTGTAGGGGTCACAGAATCTAATTCTGGTAAATGTGGTTCCCCACTTGTTGACAGAAATATATATGAGTTGTCACTTGCCAAGGTATCTATCTATCTTTAACCCATTTTAAGGTCGTTTCATCTCTGCCTGCAGAGAGATTACATACTATTGTTTTCAAATCTGAATCGACCTTGTTGATCTCTGAGATGTTTGTGTTTTTAAAATTTGAACTTTGTTCCTACAGCTCAACCAGAGCACACCTTCAAAAGAAGCCAGTAAGAGTCCTTCCAGCTTGAAAAAACGGGCTGAGATTCCATCCAAGGAACAGTTGCACAATGCACACCACACAAAAGATACACGACTCGCTGGAGAAGATTTGCCATCTTTGACCTTCAGTTTGAATGGATCTATTGAGCATATGCAAAACCAAGGATCCATTCTTGCGTTAAGCCAGATATCTCAACCCAACACTGTGGGCATTACCCAATTGAAAAGGAAAGCTGAAGATGATGATGATGCTGTTACAAATAGTAGTGCCCAAAGGAGTCTGAAGGTCCAGAGAAGTACACAACATATCCTTCATCCAGCATCAGACAACCCTTATGAGACCACTGGTGCTATCTGCCCTGTAGATCGTGAAAAGATAGTGAACTGGAATGAAGTAAGGGTACCATGTCCTTCACCAGGCGGCATTTTGCTCCACTTTTTACAGAGAAATAAGGTTTTCGCTGTTAAACTCATTTTTGAAATGCTGATCTGTTAACTTTACATTATGCTGCAGATTCCAGGGAAAGTATCATTAGAAATCAATCAATTGTTTGCTCCATTGACTGACAAGCTGAACCCAAGACTGGTATGTATCGTTTATATCCATGGAATGTTGTTTGAATCTTCAAGTTGGTCCAGAAAATTTGAACTAGTGTTGATTCAGCATTCATGTTGTAAATGTCTAGATATGCAAGCTGGAAGATAACTTGGCACACTTGAAGAAGGTTCATCTATGTGGGATGCTTTGTTTTCAAATCAAGTCTCAGGTTTGACCAGATAACATATTCTGCTTATCATTTCTCCTACAACAAATAGCTATTCTGCTGATCTATTGATCTTTTCCTAATTGCAGAATGTATACGACGAGTCAAGTGTTGCTAGGACTATCAGGTCCTATTCATCATGTCTTTATGTTGTTTGTCAAACTAAATTAGCTTCAAGTTTGTAATAATGACTATGAGTCCTGTTGCAGACGTGCTGAGAATAGATCATTGCTCTGTAAAATAGCATATGAAAAAGCCAAACTTCAGCTGCTGCACCTAAAGCAAGAGACCCAGCAGGTAAATTTTTTCTGTTCTTGTTCATCCTTTTATACTTCTAGCTTGATCATGTTTAACTTGTCCCGCAGAAAAAGGCTCGAGTAGTGACCTCTGGAATCCAGGAATTGGAAATTTTAAAATTGGAATGTTCGAAGCTTATGCATCGATATGGTGAAGGATATGGTCAAGTGACCAGTGGTTGTTATTCTATTGGCTCAGTGAATCCTGAAACAGCATGTGAGGTAATTATACTGCTCTGGGTGCAATTATAGTCTCCATAGATTGGTGGTCTATGGTCTTCTAAGTTAATAGAAGAAACGGAAATGGATTAGCTCTTTTCCTGGCTTGGATTAATTTTTGATAGGCCAGTATCCGTATTTGAATGATGAATGATAATTTAGTTGCTGCTAGTGGAAGCTTATGTATTTTTTACTTACCTTCAATGCATTTCAATCCATTCTCAAGTGACTTTCCTTCACACCTCCGATCAACATGATTATCTTTTCTCTCAAGTAATTATCTATTATTGCTCTCCCAGGTTACTAACAGCAAAGGAACTAAGATAACGCATGAGATCAAAGTTTTGGATTCAAAAATAAAGAACTTAGTGAAATCATTCCATATGTGCCACAAGATGACAGGAGAACAGAGATTTGTGGATATTACTGCGATGATTGAGGATATATTGAAAAAGAAAATGCATAAGAGGCTTATACTTCAGGATATCCAGGTATCTACTCTCTCATTGTTAGTCATGGGGGCATGAAACTGAAATAAACATGCTTTTTTCTTACCTTTTCAAACACTTGTTATCTCCACTGTTGGCAGTACTGGAAAGTTGACAGCTTGAATAATAGGAAAGATAATCACAGCATTGTCCTAAATTACAGTGGCTTCATCAACCAAAGGTTGTTTCAGCATTTTTTGTTGTCATCTTTTATTCTTTAATAGGGAACGTTGTTTTCCATACTTTGCTGAAATCTAGACGAACTCATTTGGACTATTTGTTCCTTAAATATACAGGCTCACATTGAAGCCTGGTTCTGTTCCATGTGTATTAATGTCAAACAGCTTGAATGATGCAGTCATCAGGATGGTAATGAAACCAGACTGGTTTCTTTTTTGTTTAATTCCTACAATTTATCTCTTTTTTTTCCTAATCCCGTCCATGATATTCAGTATTTCCCAAACATGAATGCTTTGGTTGCATCCGAGTCCTTGTTTTCCGCTGAATACACCAAAAAATATTTTGCTTCCAAGACCCTGGCGGAGGAAACACAGGTGGGTTTTTGTTATGATCTTGTTATTATAATGCTACAATTACTTTTTTCTTAGATAAATCTTTCTCTTCTTCTACCTTGATGTATTTAGTTGTATATTTTCTGTTCTTCTCCTTTTATTGTAATTCCTCACTGTTATTTTAGGAGTACAAGTTTCCTTGGAACTCCTTGCTAGATCTTTGACACATTGTCTCATTCGCTCTGAGAATGCAGAAAACAAGTTTAGCTCTGCATAATTTGCTAGATGTAGCTGAGGAACTTCAGTTAGCTCGAATGGAGTTACGAAATTTGGTCCAAGGAAACTTTGATTCCCCGTCAGGTAACTTACACCTTTATTTCTTGCTTCTATGTTTTCTAGTTCCAGTCTGTTAACTTTCATATTTGTTACATGCCTTATGATGACAGAGCTCGATACAAGCATAAGTTAACGTTTCCTTGATCGATTTGGTTCTGTCTAAGGAACTAATATTAACTTTCATATTTATTACATGCCTTATGATGATAGAGCTCAATACAAGCACAAGTTAACGTTTCCTTGATCGATTTGGTTCTGTCTAAGGAACTAATATTATTGTCTTCTTTGATTGCAGCGGAACAGCTTCATTTGCAAATTACCTTTGCAGATTACGGAAACTGCAGGAAAGTGATTATGTTTCTTGATATGGCATGTCTCACCCTGTAAGTGGCCAGTTTACTTTCACTCATATCACATGCTATACATATACATACATACATACATATATATATATTGTTAGTATTCTATGAAGTCGGTTCTCTTATCGCTTTTCCATGCCATGATTAGCAGAGAATGAGTGAAACTCATTGATGTATGGAATTTGCTTTCAGGAACTATCGATTTTATGTATCTAGAATGGCTTGAAACATTTATTTTCAAAACCACATAGTAAATACTGTAACTTGATTTTCTCTTTTCTGAGCAGCGGGCACTATCCCGGTGATATCGTTCCTTGCAAGTTACTGGAAGCTTCTCCCACCGGGGCTGAAAGTTCACTGTCTGATCCGATTCTCACTGAGATAAAATCCGGAATCAATGACCTTGGAGTTGGGTACCCTCGGGTGCTAAGGCTGTGTCGGTGTGTTTCCCGGGTGCTGCAATGCTAAATCAGGTGAAAGCTGTATCATGTAAAGATGTTTTCGTCTGATTTGATTCAGGCTGTAATGAATTCGTGTTGGTGGTAATCTGTGAAGAAGCCGCCTCCATCTGTGGTCAGACTAAATTTAACATAGCACCATCTTCGCCTTTGTCTCTGACCAGTGCAAATATCAAAACCTCTCTATCTCTCGGTCCTTGTCTCTCCGAAGGGCTTGGAGATTGGATTTGTTTTGTTGGTAGAGCATTGGGCTTTTAACCTAATGCATAACGCATATGTGACCGAACTGAATCTAACATAAAAATCGAATGGTTTCATAGAAACCCGAAATGTCTTTGGTATTGGAACTTTCAGACATCGAAAGTGAAGTTGCTTTCACAAAGTCCTGTTGGGTTGGACTTTGGAGCATCCTTTGAATAATGTGGCTGAGAGGTCAGCTTTCGCCCATCTTTTCTGCTTCATTGCTTATCCTTTTTTTTGCATCAAAATGTCTGATTGCATATACAAATGTTACATCTGATGAATGAGATACATCTGTGGTGTTGGATAAGGTTTTGTCTTTGAACCTTCTCTTTCTCATTAGTCTTGGGTGTTGTCAACCGTTGTTCTTTAAAAAAAAAATTAATTAATTAATCGATTCAGTTATAAAAATATTTGAAAACTTTAGCATGAAAAATCAGATCTTTTTAGAAAGATTTTTTAAAAGTGAAAATTGAATCCAAATTTTTTTTATATTTCGGAAGTTCACCAAACCTTTTGGTCTGACTATATTTTTCAGAAGATTGAGAAAATCTATATGAATAGACCTCTCCAAATGAGAAATCGAATCCGGGTTAAGAAGAATTTATTCTCTTTCTTATCGGTTGAATTACCCAATTTTGGGTTAACACTTGCATAGCTTGAGAGAACTAATGGACTTTAAAGTTCGTGGAATGGTTTTTTTTTTGGGTCAACCGTGATATATCCGGAAAAACAAAAGAAAACTTTGCTCTCTTTTTTTTCGTATAAAATATTCTCTAAAAGAATCTCTTATGTGATTGGATTAATCAATTCATATTGCAAGGCCAAACAAAAAACATTCAATTATTTTTTTTTATGCCGACCACAAAAAGAAATATTCAAATATTTAATTTTTTGTGATAATATATAAGAAAAGAGCTCAATCTACATATATTAAGTGCCAAAACCTTATGAAAAATAATTTTAAGGATTTGAATTTAAAATTGTTGAATCAATTACCTATGGTCGATGGTCCTATTTGCACAACAATTTCTCTTATCAATAATTTTTTTTGGCTTACTAAAAAAAAATCAAATATGCCTATCAAATTAACATAATCGCTATAGTTAGAGATTTTCTAACAATTTTGGCATTAAGCTCCACTTGTCCTTCTCCTTTTTAATTATCTTCCACAATAACTTATTTTTGCCCAAAAAAAAACCTTTTTCCCCGTAAGGACACATCAGACACCCATCTGATTTGTCTGAACCTCGTCCATCGCTCCTCCTGTTCTTCAACAGACAAGCGGGACACAGAAACAGAGCCACCTGAAACGAAACGTACATATATTTTTTTTTTACTTAACACTAGTTTTTCTCCACTAGGTATCTTTGAAAAATTCTCCAATCCTACTTTGGGATTTGATTCTACTATTGTTAATCTTCAAGGTACTGTAGAGAAATCTCGTTTTACTCAAAAAAGGAGATTCCCTTTTTCATGTTTGGTTTGGCCGTTCCGTCTCTGTTCTGCTTGTGAGTGCCTATATTTCCGAAGTTGTACGGATCTTTGATCATCGCGTTCTTCGATTTTTGGCGTTTATTTAGATGGGTTGATTTCGATTTTGCAGAAAATAAGGGAAATTTGCCGACTTTGGGATTCTCTGGGATCATCGTTTGCATGTTCTTGTTGGTTATTGCAGGTGGGATTTTCCATCTGTTCATTGTGCCTGTTTACTCGCATTCCTTTGTCGTTTTTCCGGAAATAAAGAACTGGGTTTTGTCTGATTTGATCGAAAGACGACTTCTTGCCAAATTTTTGTGTACTTCCCAAGCAAACCCACAAAGACATTTGGGCATTTTTCATCGCTCTGTGTACAAGAAATCTTCAATCTCCAGCTTTTCAAGTCGTTCTAGGGTTTGATTTTGATGCAAGATCTCGAGAATTCACAGAAGAATTGTTCTCATTGTAACAGATTTAACTCACTCACTGGTAAGGCGGTTTCAGAAGATGGGACACGCTTGTGATTTCTGCGGGGAGGACAAACCAGTTGTGTATTGCCGGTCTGATGCTGCTTCTTTGTGTTTGTCCTGTGACCGACACGTCCACTCTGCAAACTCCCTGTCTAGACGACATTCCAGGACATTGTTATGCGACAGATGTAGCTCACAACCTGCTTCTGTTAGATGTGTGGAAGAAAAGGCCTCTCTTTGTCATAGATGTGATCTGTCTTGTCATGGAGCCTCTTTCTCTGCTTCTGCTTCTTCCGGGCATAAGAGGCAAACCATCAGTTCTTACTCGGGCTGTCCTTCTTCCGCTGAACTCACATCCATCTGGTCATCTGTTTGGACTGTTCCGGCTTTGGCCGAGGGTTCCACCTTGGAGAAACCACTGGTTATGATGCGTTCGACGGAGAAGAACAGCGCATTACATTCACAGTGTTCTTCAATTCCAGAAACTAGTGTCCTGTCTGATAATCTGGATCTGCTTATTGGAACAGACGCATCTGCAAATGTAAGCTTACAGCTTTGGATTTTGTACATTTTTGTCCTTCGTATTCCTCGTGGCTTGCATGCCGGTAGATCTCATGACCTTTCGTTCTTTGTATCAAATATGCAGCTACCGCATCCCGGGATTGATGATCTTGGACTTTCCAGGGACTGCGTGTATGAAGATCTCAATCTCGGTGAATTAGACTTTGCTCTGGAGAACTTCGACTCGTTGTTTGGTGAGGCTCTTAATGACTCCGACACCATTTTAGGGGAAGGAGACTTGTCTGCAACTAATCCCAACGGTCAGGACATATTTGCAGCAGAGGTTCATACACTACTTCATTATGTTTCTGCTTTTTATTTTACATATCGTGTTAACATCTACTTGCCTCGGTTTCATTGTTCTTGGTTTCAACGTATCCCGGGAAAAAAAAATTCGCCTTTTCCTCATACTATAGAATCATTTCCGTCATTATATCATCAGAGACTGTATTGTTGGTCGCGTTCTTATCCAGGAGGTATCGGTCAGATCTGCCAATTCAAACCAGTTTTCTTGCAACAATATGGCAACTGCAGACTCTGTTTTGAGCAACAAAACAGAACCGGCAATCTGTTTCACGTCAAGACAAGCTCATTCAAGCCTGTCATTTTCTGGCATAAGTGCAGATACCAATAGTACTCTGGATAACCAAGATTGTGGTGCCTCTCCAGCTATGATTCTTACAGGAGAGCCTCTTTTCACCGAGGGTTTGTTACAGAAGAGCCGTATTGATGCTGTTATGCGTTATAGAGAGAAGAAGAAGACCCGGAAGTAAGTTAATTTCCGAAAAAACCAGAACTCCATAGACAAAATGCTTTCTTGAACATGCAAGATTCTTGTTTTTCTCGGGTATTCGGGAAAATAATCTGATGCTCTGAATATGAGTATAGGTTTGAGAAGCGAGTGAGGTATGCTTCTCGGAAAGAGCGGGCTGATGTTAGAAGACGGGTAAAAGGGCGTTTCATTAAAGCTGGCGAGGCTTACGACTACGACCCTAAGGAGCGGCCGTAAAGAAACTACATTGCCGCACAGGTGAACAGCCATTACTCAGGAGAAGCGTATAATACTTGTACATATATATATATATATGTTATCTTACGGCGAATGATGAGTCTGCACATCATGGAGCAGATTTTGGCAGAAACAAAAACAAAGCTTGAGCATTTGATCTTCCGCAGTTCCTATTCTTCTGCTGCTGCCATGGTTTCTTCCGAGCTGAAACGGATTCTGTTCTTTATGATTTCCCCTATGCAGTGATGTTCTTGCAAGTTTGATACCGATGCATATGCTTGTAATGATCAGATGATTATGTAAATGCGAATCTTTTGTTCTTGCAAGAACACCGACCAACTTCAGACCCTCTGTTCACGGAGAAATCTAAGTATACATATGTACAAATACAAAGGGCAAGACCACAAACTCAACATCTTCGTACATGTAAGTAGTTCATAACTTCACATTGTATGCACATCAGATATATCTCGAGATTGATCTCGTGGGATCTAATGTGACTGAAAACTTGACCAGAAAAGCAACCTTAACTGATCATCGCCTCTGTGCATTTATGTATTAATATCTGTGCAAACCACCGATTCTATACAGAGAAAACTCAGCGACTGCTCTCACCAAATGTATGAAGAGACATCTTCTTCTGGAACCAGAGAAGTCCTACAAAGTGGGCAAGTGATGTTCCAGTAATCGATCCATTTTTCCAAGCATATTTTGTGAAACAAGTGGCCACAGTTGAGGTTGTTGATCTCTGACTCTGGCTCGAATTTCGTCAGGCAGACAGAACAATCTTGTTCGTGGTCGGGATGTTTCTTGCAGCTGCTGAATCTCAGGGTCGGTGTCCGGTTCCTGAACTCCTCCAGGAGACCGTGCGCGTGGCAGAACTGAAGGCCAAATGATTCGGATGGATCCTCAGAGGGCGTCACTGACGGCATTGATGGTGATGATGTGAGGAGGACGCCTACTACATGAAGGATGTATTGGACAATGCCTTTGAAGATGGAAATCGATAATGCTGTGTTTACCAGTATGATACACAGCATTCCTTGTGATGGAGCAGGAAGGCTTGACAGACCCATCTCAGAGTTCTTGGATTGGTGTGATGGGTTTGCTTCAGATTCGACCAAGTTCCCGTTTTCCTTGTCTTTGACCGTATATGATCTGGAAAAACAACAAAAGGGTTCTTCGTACTCGGTAGAAAGATTGATAAATCACCAAAAGAAAGATGACAAATTTGCGACTTGGTGAAGTAAATGAATCGAAAGATCTAAGGTGTCTGCAGCATATGCTAGTTTTCCTAAAGGAGAAACTGAATATTTTGGAACCAGCATCTCAAGCTTTGACTTTTCCCAAAGGGAAGAACAGAAACTTAACAAATCAAGATCGTAAGAAGAGGATACACAATCCTATGACTTGTCTGATCGTATTTAGACACGGAAGATCCAATTTTGCAATAGAAACACAACTCATCCTCAGTAAATATCAATACCCACAAACAAAACTCCAAGTTTTCAAGGATCCAAGCTCAATCTCAAGCATTCCATTCTGATCAAGAACACCAGCGTGCAATCCTCAGTACCAATATATGATTAAAAAAAAGCATAAACAATCCAAGAAATACAAATCCCAGAAACGTATAATTTCTTCCTTCCTCTATATTACTACCCAGGAAAAAAAATCAGTGAAAAAGGGAATATGATTGGGTAAAATTGAAAACTGAGGGAGAGAAGAACCTGCAAGCCTTGAGGGGGGGAGGTATCAAAGATGATAAAGAATCTCCATGAAAGCTAAATACTTCTAAAGTCTTTGAAAAGAAATGTTGGGTTCTTCTGGAATGCGGAAGGATTTTGAGATGTGCTTTCTTTTCTTTGTCTGTCTCTCTCTCCCCAGATTTCAATTGTTTATAAATTTGCAGTACATGTACATCAAAGCCTAACCATGGTTAGTCAAACTGGTTTCCTCATGTTGGTGTTCTTGGATTAACCATGGTTACTTTATATCATGAACTTGTACTTTCCTAATATAACCTTTCCCTTTGTTTTATAATGTATAATAATAGAATGGACTAAAAAGTTGATGGTAGGCTCATGATTGTATATAAGTTTAATTTTGGATATCAAATAATAGAATCAATGTGTAGAAATGAGGGAAAATACATAAAAAATCTGAATATTATTACTATATTGGACAAGGATTTTTTTTTTTTGGCTTTTTCTCTTCACAGACAAAGAGTTTTAGAAAATATTCGATCCAACAAAATTGATAATCTTTGTTTAATCATCATACAATATCATTATTTAAATTTTAATATATAAAATCAAATCAAACCAAATAACATTTATTCGAAACCGATTTATTATAATTTTTAAATTAATTACTTAAATTTGAATGTAATTCTAATAAACTATAAATATAATTTAAAAATATAATACAACCAACAAATTTTAAATTAAATAGTCTTTTTATAAAACTCCAATAGAATACCAACCAAATTTAATAATAATTTGGCATAAAAATATATTTTTTAAAAATTAAAATATTAGTGGAAATCATGAAATAATGAAATAATTTGTTTTAAAAGATAGGTCAGCGATTACAAAATGCGAGTTAAAATTACAATAAAAAAATGAAATTGCATAACAAAAGTATAGGATTTTTAAAACACTATTTGAAAAATTCAATTAAGGCAACATTTAAAATGTGAAATAAAAAATGATATAACAATAACTAGTTTCATCTTAAATAGAAATATAATTTTAGATGGTCCATTACCATTCATATGGTTAGGCCATTGGGCCATGTATGAGAGTTACGGGTTACCTATTTGGTTAATATCCAAATAATATATACATATCGAGTAATAAATAACAATAACCAAATTGAATTAGACTTACAACAGAATAATTATAATTTTTTTTAAAATAAAAAAATTAAACTCAGATCAAAACAAATAAAAATTAACAGGAAAAATAAATATATTTATCACAACCAAACCAAAATAATAAAATTCAAATATAACCCAACTAAATTTAAATCGAATCCAATATAAAAACGAAACGATTATAATTTTTTTAAAATCGCATCCAACCGAACCTTAACCCGATAAGCCACCATTAATAGCACTCAGTGCACACGTGTGGAACAAGTATTTCACACGTGCCACGAAAAGGCGCCAACTCCCATCTATCCGATTCTTCTTCCCCATACCCCGGCCCCACCGAACCAGAGCTCGACCCATCGCCATGCTTTGTGATTTAAATTGATATCCACGTTAGTCCTCGTAAAGATGGGTTCTTAACTTTCAATACAAAATCTCTAAATTTAGAGGGTAAATTTGTCATTTCACTTTTACCGAAGCTGATTTTCCAAACAACGACTTTTGCATGTCATATTATGAGTTCCCTTGGCCTTGGATATAAAGCAGAATGGTTGCGTCAAGAGAGAGATGTAGTAGCAGTTTCTTTCTTACAGGACACAGTGAACAGAAGCACAAGAGGGAGGAACACGCAAAGATTCATTAAAGAACAGAGTGGAACAATGAAGGTGGGAACATGGAAAGCTAATTCTGCATGGACAAGAACCGGAAAAACAACAAGTGAAACAAGCTTTTCTATCAAATAACAAACACCGAATCTGAGAGAAGGGCTTAGGGAAATAACCTGGAATTTAGTTGTTGAAGGAGAGAGAGATTAGGTAGATGCAGCATTGCAAGTGCCAGCTCCATCTTTGCAGTCATTGGTAAGATCATTGAAAGTTTCCATCTGCTTCTTCCCTCTCAAGAACACTTCTGTATCTACAGAGGCTCTCATGTAACCGTCCAACTCGACTGGGTTCCCCCCGTTTAGCTTCATCGTCTCTGAATACCATTCACTCCCCTCATCCCATAGATCTTTGTACTCGTCGAGAAAATGGGTCGTGTACTTATCTTTCAACGGGTCAAAGAGCGAAATCTCCCGTTCATTTGTTGCGATATACACATTCCTCCCTTCTTCAATCTTGTCCTGCAAGGTGGACAACAGGGCACTCGGGGAAGTGTCCTTATCGAGGTTAGGCCACAGCTCCTTGTTTCTTGCTTTCTCTCCTAACTGTCGACGAAAGAACCTGGAATTTAGTTGTTGAAGGAGAGAGAGATTAGGTAGATGCAGCATTGCAAGTGCCAGCTCCATCTTTGCAGTCATTGGTAAGATCATTGAAAGTTTCCATCTGCTTCTTCCCTCTCAAGAACACTTCTGTATCTACAGAGGCTCTCATGTAACCGTCCAACTCGACTGGGTTCCCCCCGTTTAGCTTCATCGTCTCTGAATACCATTCACTCCCCTCATCCCATAGATCTTTGTACTCGTCGAGAAAATGGGTCGTGTACTTATCTTTCAACGGGTCAAAGAGCGAAATCTCCCGTTCATTTGTTGCGATATACACATTCCTCCCTTCTTCAATCTTGTCCTGCAAGGTGGACAACAGGGCACTCGGGGAAGTGTCCTTATCGAGGTTAGGCCACAGCTCCTTGTTTCTTGCTTTCTCTCCTCTCTCGATGTGGACAGCGTCGTAATCCCAGTTCAACCTCGACGCAATAGCAGACACGATTTCCATCAACCTTCTTGATTTCCATAGTAGGTGCCAAGGCCTTTGTACAACGGATTCTACTTCACCTTCACAAACTCTGTACCAATAGTTATCTGGTTCTACCGAACCAAACTTTCTCATTATCAACATGTCTTTCACATTAGCAAGCTTCATGGGCGTGACCCGGAAATCCTCCACAAGATGAAGGCCGAACCCATTTTTCTTATGCCATTTACGCCAATCTGCCCAGAACTGAACTTGATCCAAGACTGAAGCCGCCTCTTTCAAGTGCTCGAAATCAAAGTAAAATCTAAAGTCCTTTCCTTCCTCGTTTTGACCGGATGATGTGTAGATCGAAGACAGACACAGAGTCAAGTCCATCACTAACGTACGGTTCAAGTATTGAGCTTCACCTAATGCACACAAGAAACTCCACAAGTAGTGATTCATGCTCTTGCACCTGTCTCCTCCCCCCACGTAAATCAAGTACTTACCCTGTTTAAATGCATTCTCCGACTCAATCACGGGAAGGGAATCATTCACCGCTTCACCAACCACTGGTAACGAGAAATCATCGTCTTTCTTTCCAGGAGTTTTCTCAAACCCAGGTTTCTGATTCTTCTTCCGCTTCCTTGCATTCACACCCGAATGATATTCTCCAATGCTCATCACACTGACTGTACAATTCTCGGATCTCTCTATCACAAACCTACGATAATCTTTGTAGAATGCAGCAGTCTTCCCATCCTTAGGCCTATATCTCCAAGCCATATCGCAAGTATTATCACCTTCCCCAGGAGTCGGTTTCCCGAACTTGTAGAAGTGAATGTCCTTGAACTTCTCTATAGTAGCTTTCATCATCAAATGGAAAACCTCAGGATCTTTGCAATCAATGGGACTATTGGCATCACAATCCAACTGGCTAGTGTCGGAAGTGTTGTCAGTGTTCTCAACATCTGTAATGTTGATAAACGCAGAGAAGGCAGTTTGGTTGACCGCCATGAAATCTTCACCGGTCTTAACGACAGTGTCGTCGGCTTTCAATGTGGCATTGGATGTGGATGTAAGGAAAGTGGTCATCTTGTTTGATGGGTGGAAAAGCGGGTCTTCCGGCTCATAGGTAGCTGCGATAATGGTGAACACCAAGACTCCGACAACAAACAACGAGAATCCAATGTTCCCGATCAAGTTTAGGGCGTTTTGCCCTAAATTCTCCGGACGAAAGCCTCCGGTTCTCGAAAATGCAGATCGACCCAACATATTCTCCCGACCCACAAGCTTACGGAATCGATCACCACGAATCAAACAAGAACCACAAATCTAAATGCTCAAGAATCACACTAAGAAAAACACAGATCTCGAGAGATACAGATGAATCCGGCGACGCAAAATTTAGAGCTTGCAGATCTGAAAATGGAACGAAGAGAATACGAGAGATTAGAGCCTGAAATTCGGTATTAACCCACCTCTAACGAGCACTGAGTCGAGCTGAGAAATCGAAGAACATTGCTCTTCCGTGTTCTTTTTTCTTTCCCGTTTCTCTCTGCAGATGCTGAGCCTGTGGGTTCGACCGCGAGATTTCCTCTCCGTGTCAGTGTTTGCACTCTCCCGAGGGAGAGAGAGAGAGCAGAGATGCGTACACGTGTCTATTTCTAAGACGTGAGGGAAAATCAACGGTGGATATTGAGGGAGATTCTGGAGTCGCGAGCCACACCGACAAGGGCAAAGATGTAATTTAGTATGACTAGAATTTGGATTGCATCTAATCATTGACTTTTTTGGGTAATTATATGGGTTTACTAATTGCCATTCTATGATTATGCAGTAAATAGTAAAATGCGACTGCAACTTTAAATGAGAAGTTTTTTTTGGTTATGCAAATGAATGAACTGTCTCAATTTAGATTTTAAAAGGTATATTTATTGTTAAAAAATACAATAAATGTCAGGAAAATATCTATACAATAAAAAAATTAAACAAAGTATAAATAATCTAGAATTTTGTAATACTATGAGACCCCAAAAAGGGCATATCTGAAATTAAATTATGACAACATTACATATTTGAAATTGATATGATGTATTTGATTTGAATTAATTTTATAAAAGAAGTTGCTTTTAAAAAAAAATTGAAATGGATTGCACAATATTTCTTTTTTGGAAATTGGAAATCATTTGCATCTATTGACGTTTATTTTGTTTATTTTTAGATAGCTATGAGTATGATCAAGACATATAACAAATTCATCTAATCTGAAATTTATTTTATCTGAAGAAACTGAATCCATAAGAATCCACCAAGAAATTTTTTTTTGTGAAAAATCATAGATTCCAAATGAAATAAAATGAAACAAATTCCAAAGTTCGGAAAATAAAAAAAAAAAAATTTTATAAAGATTTAAAAGAATTAACTATACAGTATCTCAAAGATTCTACACAACAGAAACATGTGTGAACCAGTGTCTCAGGTACATGGTAAAACACAGAGTGGCAAGAGAAACACATGTCCGTACACTCCGCAACTCCCGAAGACAACAGAATCTTTGTTCCATACACAAGACAGTGACGAGTTCATCTCATGTCGAAGAGATTGGAGAACTGGGTTTTACTCAGAAAGCTCAGAAACCTGCTTTGGTTCTTGAAGAAGACAGAGCAGAACACGAAAACAGACGATGTTCTTGCAATACCTTAGATCCTAAGGTAACCTCGTCGTCGATCTTGGACAGAGTTCGGTCTTATCTGGAACGGTCTTCTGTTCAGAGACAAGCTTCTTTTCATGGCTCTCACTCTTTGCCAAGAAGACAGTCTAGTATACAGAGCCGGGAAGGCGAAACAACACAACACAAGAAGAAGCATTATTACACAGATGTACATCACATTTCGGAACCCGTCTCTCAGGTCTGGATCGTCCTGTCCTGTCCAAGGAACTCCCCCAACGTTCATGCCGAAAACTGGCAACCACATGAAGCAGAGAGGTTAAGTGTTTCAGTGTCTTTCTCTTCACATATGAAACAGGAAGCATAATGGGTTTCGGTTTCTGACCTCCAGTTATGATGGATAGAGGAAGGAAGATGATGGAGAGAAAAGAGAGGTAATAGAGCTTTCTGTTGATTTGCTCAGCCTGCCAACTGTCTAGACCTGCTTGGATTGCAGTCACACGGTTTGCTATGAAGCCCACGTTCTCTTTGAGCCGTCTCAATCGCCCAATCAACTCTTCCAACGAGTTAATATCTTCGGGTAGAAACCAGGGTTTTGTGGAACATTTTTCCTTGACTCTTGGAAATACTTGTTCTCCATGTGCAATCACCTGAGGAGAAAGGAAGTGGGTATAAGCAAACAAGCTAGGGTTTGTAACTGCAAGGGCAGGAGACCCCACTCATGTGGAACAGTGTTTCTTAGTGCAGTTTCCGGTCTTCCAATCGATTGTTCTATTCTAGCTTATCTGAAACAAACACAAAGATTGTCCTTGAGACATCCTACGGAGATGCAGAGAGAAGAAACTGGTACAAAAAGCTACCTGCAGGAGACGCTGTAAGTTCAGATGAATCTTGGGGAATCTTCTATCATCCAGCATCTGTTTCTTAAGAGCAAATCCACCTGACAAGAAGTAGATTAGTGGTACGAAATCAGCAAATAATAAGAGTTGCAAATAACCAAGTAATATTCATCATAGACACAACTTTTTGCTTTTGAATCATAGGGATCATGATCCCAAGTCTTCCCACGATATCCAGAGAGGGCACACGAAGAATACATGTGCTAATGTGAAGCGTTTTTCGGACAGAAAGAGGATCAACAAACTAAAAGATAAGGTTCGAGGACGAATGCAACATGTTAGAGCAGATAACTCACCTCTATCCATTTCTATTTCCACGGCATCCAACTCGATCTCAAGTTTAGTCACAACATCTTGAAGCTGATCAACGTGTGTATCAATGATGTGAACCACTAGGTTGGAAACAGATGTCGGGACAGGGTTATCAGCTTCCTCAGAATGGTTCATCGTCAGTAAGAATTCAAGAACATGCTCCTCAATCACAATCCCACTCCTTTCCTTATTCTGCCCTCCTCTATAATAAGACGGAGTCTCCACACTAGGAACTTCCGAGAGAAGAGACTGGCTCATTGGCGAGAACCCTAACCTAGGAACACGCCCTAAAGACACAGTGATCACAGAATTCTGAGTTATCCTTGCAGCAATCCTAAACGTAAAGCTGCTGGCAGCAGGGCCAGGGGAATTAACTCTAAACACGAGCGCCCCATCAACGTGCCCGCAAAAGGGTCCGTTACTAACAAGCGAAAGAATGTCTTGAAGCTTCAATGGCGGGCAGAGAGCGTCGATAAGATACTGAGCAGACTGAGAGAGTTTCTGGTTTCCTTTTGGTAATTCGACATGGTACCAACAAAACTCCCTCCCAGTTCCCTCAGCAAGGTCCCATTCCTTGTTGTAATACTTCCCATGTCCATCGAATATATAAGCTCTCTGTCTCACCATCCCTGAGAAATGAGACAGAAGCTTATGAGTGTCTCTGAGAGGAGCGCTTGTCAAAGCCTCCAGATCCGTCTCATCCAGTTCTTCCCCAATCTGATCTTGTTGTTCTATCATGTTCCTCTATTTTACCTACTTTTGGGCGATAACAGCCTAATTATGGGCAGCCCCAAATCTTGGTTTTACAGCTAAGAAATCGCAACAATGGCCGCTTCTATCTAACCAAATCCAACATAACCCAGTTTCCAAACTGTGATCTTCCTCTAAATAGAACTTCAGTTGTAACAGACATGGACAGACCTTCTGCTCATCCAACGAGGACAGCTAAAATTAGGAGCGAACGAGAGAGATTGAATCTGAATCCAAATCTGCGAACCCAGGCTTACACAGAGACGGATAACAACGGCGAAGTAGACCCAGTAGAGACAAAACCAAATCAGGCTCTGGTTTAGCTAACTCACACCCATTTCACTTCACCCCACGCTTGATCACGAGAATCGCCGAAAAATCATACTCTGACGGCGACCCAATGTCGGAAATCGCCGGCGAGATCGTGGAAGACGAGGCTGATGAAACAATGAAGCGGAGAAAGCGCGATGCGGGGAGAATCTGATCTGAGCAAGGAAACTACATGGAAGAGGAGAAAGTTGACGAGAGAAAGACAAGACACGGAGAATCTGACAGACAGACACGCATTCCGAATCAATGGCAGATTATTTATGATTAACTTATACAACTCTGTGATACTCAACAAAAAAAAAACAACCAAAAAAAAATCTTTCTGGAGTTTGAGGTGAACCTTCCCAAACCGCGAAGCAATCTGAAGACTTGCTGACATGAATGAAGCTTCGATTGGCCGGATTGATAGGCCCCACAACTAAATTAGGCCCAAAACTCAATGGCCCAAACTTTAAACATTAGATAAAGGCCCAATACTATAACGAACTAAAGGCCCAATAAACTCAATGTTCAAAGGCGGTAAACCATAACTAAATCAGGTTCAACTAAAGGCTTAAAAGCCCAATAAACTCAAGCCCGATAAGCACAACAAATTGAAGGCCCAAGGCCCAACAAACTCGACCAAAATGCCCAATATATATAATATATAAATTAAAGAAGTTGGTATTTTTGGAAATTGGTCGACTCGCCCAAATGTAAAATTTTCTTTGGAAATTTGTATACTTTTAAATAAAAATGGAATAAGAACGAAAATAATCGAATTTGAAAAACGGGAAAAATGATCAACAATTTACGGGAACCTTCCACGACAGTGGTAATGAAGTTCAAAGTCGAAGACCAAGAAACATCTTACAAAACTACACGTAAATTTCCTTTCAAAGTTCAAACGTAAATGAACAAAGACCGAAACTTTTTCTATTTTGGTATTAAACAAAGACCGAACGGAACTCTCTGGGGACAATTTATAAAGACCCGGTGAAGAATGCATCAATCCTGGAAATTCTGTCTTGAAATTTTGAAGCCCCCGAAAATCTACTCGTTGTACGCGCCTCCCATCAGAAGCCTCTCGTCGTTTTCCAACACTGTTCCCTCTTCCCTCGATCATAGAAAAGTCGGCGTTCTCCAAGGTAGATAGTCAGGTACTTTGTGTCCTTGTTCGCAAATTCGGATTTTTCCTAGTTTTTTGGTTTCTATGGAAGAAATGGAATCATGGGTTTGTTCTGTTTTTAGCTCTTGGAATGATATAATCAGGGAAATCTGTAATGTTCGTTCGGACAGGACTTGAAATCTGAAATGGGGTTTTCGAGTCGTTCGTGGATATCATATAATTAGGGCATTTGTGATGTTCCCGGAACGAAATTCGGAATCCTAATTTCGGGGGTCGAAAATTCTTGACATGGGTTACTGACAAAATCATGTTTTTCTTCGTCCTGATGATATGTAGTTGTCAGAGACAGATCTCCGTTCTTGATCAGAAGAATGTCGGATTCAACATGCCCTTTGTCAGTGGAGAAGGAGATTTTCATTGATGGTGGAGGAGCTCAACAGATCCAGTTTCTTACAGGTGTAAACGACAATTATGATGGCGTCACTGTAAATTTGGAAGATCCCATGGATGCCGAGGATTTTGCCGTAAAGCTTAAGGCATCACTTCTAAAATGGAAGCAAGAGGTATTAATCATAGTTGACTGAGGATCAATCAAAAGCTTTTAGATGATTTCTGTTCCATGATCAATACTGATCAAAACGTTCTTCAGCTGTGATCTTTGGCTACTGACTGTAATAATCAGCTCTGGATAGAAAATCCCATGTTTGAAATCGAAATGGAACCTGGTTTGTGCGAAAATAAGCTGTTTCATTCTTCTGCATAGACTTGAGTTTCCCTTGCAATGGACTCTAGACTTTGACAAATTTTGAATAAGCATGATGATCCAGACATCAATTTGCAGGGAAAGAAGGGAATCTGGATAAAGATACCAATCAGTCTTGCCAATCTTGTTGAGGCTGCAGTTAAGGTAGAGACTTGTATGGTCACTGGAAAAATGTGTTCCCGTTAACTTTTCCGTGGCGAAATCTCGGTTTCATGTTGTTGAACAAGGTTTTTCTTGGTTGTTTTTATACAGGAAGGGTTCAGATACCATCATGCTGAACCCGAATACTTGATGCTCGTAACTTGGATCTCAGAGCGTCCCGATACTATCCCCGCCAATGCTTCTCATCGTGTAGGCATTGGTGCTTTTGTCCTTAACCCCAATGGAGAGGTAAAAAATTACTTTTTTTTTACCTCCCGCAGTTTTCTTATTCTCAATGGGACTTAAAAGAGTCAGATTGCAAGAAATGTATCTGGAACTAGATATCGGGATTTTGGTTGAGAGAGATTGATAAGTGTCACACATTGAAAAAAAAGAGGGATTTGTTAGCCAATATATAAAGAGGGTCAAATCTCCACTCTTAAGCTAGCTTTTGTGGTGGAGGGTCCAAACTATATCATTTGGTATCAAGACCCAAACTCCACCACAAAATCTAACTTCAGAGCAGAGGTTTGACCTTCCTTATATATTGCCCCCAAATCCCTCTCTTTTTCCAATGTGGGACACTTATCAGAGAGATTCAATTTTGGATTAGAATGATCATGGACCATTTTGATAATCCAGTGGTTTGTTGTGTTATCCCTTTTCCTCCATGATTTGTTTTGTTTGTAACATACTGTGGGTTGGGTTCTTCAACCATGAGAACCTAAAGAATAGGGTGGCCATTTTGAGTTTCGGTTCAATTATTTCAATGGTAGCAAAACTATAAATACGGTTCGATTCGGATACAGTTTGGGTTTACTTTTTAGTTTTAATGGATAAAATTACTCAATTTTCAAAGAAATTTTTGGTTTTTCGTTTATTTTTTTTATTCAGTTCTTTTGGTTTAAAAAAATATATAGCCATTCGGATTTTGTATCGTATTCGATGCGGTTACGGTTACATGTTATTCAGTTCAGTCATTCGGTTATTAACGAAATTAGCTGGATGAACTATTTCCATATGCAGGTACTTGTTGTCCAAGAGACTGGTGGTGCTTTCAGAGGGACAAATGTGTGGAAGTTGCCTACCGGAGTTGTTAACCAGGTGAGCGAAATGAGATTTCCGGTTGTGATCCGATCTTTATCTTCTCCGGGAAATATTTACAACTGTGAATCATTACATGAACCGATCTTTGCAAGGGGGAGCTCCTAAGAATCTCGGCTCCATCTACTTTGTTGATTGCAATAATTTCCCGAGATTTAGGCTGCAAGTTTTTAGAGCTTTTACATGAACCTACCCTTTCATTAGGGTTTACAGAACAAAAGCTTATATTACGGACAACGAACTTTTTATTCTAAGCCTCTCCAAAGAGAACCATAAATCGAATAACAGCAACCGGGTTAATCTCGGTCAATGGGCATTGTCGTTAGCATCTTGTGTAGATGACACTATCCATGTCCAAAGAAATGTTTTTTACTATAGGCTCGTTCTCGAACCTATCACATTCCTAGGTTACTAGGTAGTTCTTGGTTTGGTTCTGCTATTGTCCTGACTATAATAACTTTCCGGTCCACAGGGCGAGGATATCTGCGAAGCGGCGGTTAGGGAAGTTAAAGAAGAGACTGGTGTACGTATTTTTGGCACCCGGAACCTGAAAACTTTTCTGCTTTCGGATCATTAATATAATGTTATAATCTGAATCCCGTGCTCTCGTTTGTTTCAGATCGATACAAAATTTGTGGAAGTCTTAGCATTCAGGTAATGAAGACAGCTTCACCGCCTTATCTTAAGCAAGATTTTGCCATTTTCAATTGCAACCAAACATTGTCTTTCAAATGCATCATGTTTCTGTTCCTAGTCTGATTTTCTTCTCACTGCTTCTTTCTCATCCTCTAACTGCGTCGTGTCTCTCAGGCAGAGCCACAACTCGTTTTTCGGGAAATCGGATTTGTTCTTCCTTTGCGTGTTAAGAGCTTGTTCCTACGAAATAGACAAACAAGATTCGGAGATCTTGGCTGCTCAGGTAAAACATATTCCTACACAAACTGTTCTTACTGAATCCACACAACAATGGAGAAAAATCGTTTAGCATATCAATATGAACCAAAAACGGGTTTTTGTTATTTCTCGTCCGCATTTTTGTTGTTAAAGATTCTACGCATAGGATAGGATGTTCTTGATGTTTTGTGTCCTCAAAGTAGGGTGGGCACGGGTCGGATACCCGAGTTTTCCGTTGTAACCGACCTCAGTCTCAGTCATTCGTGTTTCTCCATCAGCTTACTCGTGGAGAGGCAAGAGCAAGGCCGGCAGAGACATGGATAGTAGTGAGGTGTTAGCCGAGGGGAGAAAAGAGAGATGTCGACGTGTACCGATGGTGGAGGAGGGGGCGACTAGGGACAAATAGTGAGCCCCCTCGCACTGACCGCGGCACTGCCTCACTCACTTTCGCCTCCTCACGACACTTCCTCTTGCCCCCTTCGCCTCCTCCCTTATCTGTCCTCCACATTTTTTCAAAACCCTAAATCCCTAGGGCTATCCATGGATATGGGTAATCGGCCGACGAAAACCCAAACTTGAACCTAAATGGTCGGGACCTCTCACTGTCATCGATCTCATACTCATCCTGCCGCTGGATGAGTATCCAAAATTTTTGGATACCACACTCACCGAGCGGGTACTCGGAATTCCGGGTCCCGCACCCTCTCCTACCTCAAACCGAGTTTAGAACGTAACGGTTGGTTGCTTCTCCTGTTTCAGTGGATGCAGGTTCATGAATACGTAGACCAACCCTTCAACCAGAAGAACGAGATGTTCAGATACATGGCCAACATCTGTCTCGAGAAACTGGAAAACCAGTACAGCGGTTTTTCTCCGGTTTCTACGGTTACTTCAAAGGGCCACAAAAGCTACATGTACTGCAACGGCGATCACGTGAACCAGATCACCAGTGCACGTGATCAAGAGACAAGTTCTCTTTAAATAACTCAAGTCCAATATGAAAAACTATTGCTATTGGTTGTACGGATATATGTATTGATATTTTTCATTGAATTATAAGTTTGAATTCTATTTGAAACATTTTTAACCATCCAAAATGATAATGCATATGCATAACACATGGATAGTAATATTATTTGTTTAATTATTAAATGCATTTTGGATATACAGCTCAGAGAATTACAAACAAATCCCAATATAAACCGACAAGCCCAAGCAACTGACAAGTGGACTAATTATTATTCGAAATCTCCACACAAAAATCAACAAAAAAATGATTTTTAAATAAGGATTTAAAAAAAAAAAAAGAAGCAACCCCCAAAGGGCAAGATTCCCGCCGAGGCGATTATCTTACATATGCCACGTGTCGCAGACCCACCTCACTCTTCATTATCATACGAACATAGCAGCTCCTAGGCAGAATCCGACGATCGCCGTCAAGAAACTCCGACCGTTCGTCGATGCGACGCCGTTTTTATTGTCGGCGACTTGGGCGTCGTAATCATCGGTCGGAGCGTCGGCGTCTTCCTCCGGCGACTTCTTGTTCTTGCTCGGCTTCGGCGACGGAGCTTCTTTAACGCTCGCCTTGAAAATCTCTCTGGGCAACAAAACCTTATCGATCTTGTACACAATCAACGGTTCTTGATCCTTTAACGTCCCCGTTAACTTCGCCGTTACAACGTCCGTCTCCAACGTCACGTCATCGCCGTCGTTCTGCACCGTGAAATCGTACTTGCTGTCTCCGCCCGTCGCCAGAGTGTTGATGGCGCCGTTACCGGACCTCAGCATCTGCAACGACTGGTAAACAGGGATTCCATGGTACAACACTAACGCCGTTCTGTTCGCCGCCGTCATAGCCTTGAACTTGGCCATGAACTTGTTGACTGCGCCGTCAGTCGGACAGAACACCGTTAACCCTCCGTCAATCGTGTCCTGGAACGTCTTATCCGCTCCAGTCGACGTCAACATGTCGGCGAAGGCCTTGCATCCTTGTATCAGACGGAATTAACGTTTTCCGTTAGCAAAGTTTGTCACTTTGACGTCCAAAACAAAACACCACACGCTGTTCTTGGAAAATGCAGAGCTCATGAACATGATCAAGGCAACTGAACATTTCAATTTGTCATTCTTTTATATCAGATGAAGTTAACGTTTTCCGTTAGCAAAGTTTGGACTTTAACGTCAAAAAACAGATCACCACACTCTTTTCTTGCGAAAATGCAGAGCTCATGATCAGATACCTTGCTTATCAAGAATGGTGGTGAGATTGAAATCGCTAGGGCTCGGAGTAGGAGCTTCTGCCTCGGGAGAAGTCATGACCTGGCTGATCTGAAGAACAGATATGTTATAAGCTTTCTCGTAAACAGACTTAACGTAGTGAGAAGTGAGTTTGTTGTCATCGTCTTGGACACCGAAAGCGACTTTCCCCCCTTTCAGATCGGTTATATTAACGTAACCCGAAGTCCCCGGGGCCGAGCCCGTGGCCTGAAACATGGTCGACGTCGAGGTTGTCCCGTGGGTGATCTGGTGGAGTTTCTTGGCGCCAAAGTAATCGACGAGTACGTGAAGAGAGAGGATGTTTCGGATCGTGTAGAGTGAGTAACCCTTTGATAAGATCGACGACATTCCGGCATTGTCGACGGCCAATACGGTGATGGTTTGACGGCGGTTGATATCGTCGGCCAGGTGAGTGGCCGTTAGGTAATGGTTGAACGTGGAGAAATCCGGGTCTTTGGCCAATATTCTTGTGATGTTATGGGCATTTGAGGAAGAGAAGAGTAGGCAGAGGAGGAGGAAGGTCACGGCGGAGGCGGTGGTGGGTTGCCGGATATTAGCCATTGTCGGCGGAGATACGGCGGAGGAAGAGGAATAGGAGGAGGAGGAGGAGGGCCGGTGATTTGTGAGGCGACGTAGTGGTGGATGTTATAAAGAACGTATCGTATACTGCCACGTCAGCAGATGATACACAGCTCCTACAATTCTCTAGACTGGCCGACACTCTTCTTTGTGGGGACGTATATTCGTCATTTAAAAATAATTATTTATATATTTCTACGAATCATTTTTAATCTATATTAACCGTCATTAGTTATATTGGCTATTTTCTTAGCAGTATTACTTACCTTTTTTTTTATGAAACAGTATATCTTACCTTATAATATTTTAAATGGTTCCACCAAAATCATATTTTATTCTTTTGCGGTACACCCACCGGAAAAATCAGAATAAAATTTTTCTGGCGAGAGAAATTAAGAATAAAATATCATATGAAAAATATATAACGAAAACAAAATACGGAATTATGGGTCCCACAACTGTCGGTGGTGAAGGTGAACAGTGAAAGCGAACGGTGTCCTGAGAGAAGTGGAAAAGTTTGTCCACGTCAGCAGATGATGGCTCTCAAGTTTCTGATTAAACCAACCGCAAATTTCCTGTGATAATTTAATCGTTTAATTAATGGATCTTTTTTTTTTGTCATGCAATGGATATAATATAACGAATTTTTAATAATATGATGATTGAAATGCCAACCAATTGATATGAGAAAAAGATAGATAAGACCCCACATGAGAGTGATTATAAATAATTATATAAAAATATTTTGAAATATAAATTTAATCAATCTAATTTATATTTCAAAATATAAATTTAATAATATAAAGATTGCCTAATCATGGATATTTGTATATATAGCAAATCGGTCGATAGGAAGATTAACATGTATTTATTTTTAAAATCGACTATGTTATGTGATTTTTTTTTTCAAATCGAATTAACAAAACACTATCCAAATATAATTAAAAATAACGGAGTAAAAGTGTAACATTCTTTAAAAAAAATGAGCATATCTTAATAAAAATTTAACTCAAATGGAACGTTAAGAGAATGTGAAATTAACCGAATTTCGACACAAAACTGAGAAGATACAATTTTTTTCTAAAATTGAAATATCCAAATCAGAAATATAAAGATTGATTTTTTTTTTTTAATCTTTTGGATAATTAATGTGGAGACAAATTAACTGTATCTTGCGACCAAAGCCATGGCATCTCATCATTTTTTTCTATCATAATTTCTTGTATAAGATATATAATGACACCATTATTAGAGAAAGTTAGGGCAAAAAGAAAACTTTAAAGTACAATCTGCATTATAATATAACCATTGAGATATAATCTATAACTCCTATGAATATTCTTATCGATAAGATCGTTAACCTAATTAATATGCTTTTTTTTTTCATTGGTTATATTGTGTTTGATTTGTTTAATACACCCTTTGGCTTAATTTATTTCTCACATACATACATACATACATACATACATACATACATACATACATACATACATACATACATACATACATACATACATACATACATACATACATACATACATACATACATACATACATACATACATACATACATACATACATACATACATACATACACACACATACACACATACATGTGTGTACACTGCAATAATTTAAGTTAGTTTGGACGTTTGAATCAATGCAGTCTTGGTAATAACTTAGCTGTATAATTAGAATTGCGACAATGGACTTCAATGTACTTCAATTTGATTAGTATAAACCCTCTTGCTTAATTTGTTTCCCATACCTCTCTTTCTCTCTCTATCTCTATATATATATAAATATACATATATATATATATATATACATATATATATGTATATGTGTGTGTGTGTGTTTATTTAAGTTAGTTTACACGTTTGAATCAATTTCCATTTGCATATTTATTCATGGATCGGTAGGTAAGGCTCTTTCTCCAAACTTTTCTTCATTTCAACTTCAATTGTTTAGTTCTACCAAATCATAATTAACAAAATAAAATTGTCGTTGTCGTCCGCATCTCTTAATAATTCGGGTTCTTATTCAAATATCCGTTTTTTTATATTATTTCAAACCATATTTAAAATATTTGTATGCATAAGGCAATTAATCGTATATACTTTTTCCAAAGAAAACACATTTAAATTAATCATCGAATAATTTCGCTTTGGATTTGGATTGGTTTAGCAAGAGAAAAAAAATGCAAACTGAAAATCGAATTGAATTTCATCCGGTTCAAAAAAAAAGTTCGAATATCTATATCCAATTTTATTATTTAGGGAAAATCCCATGTAAGTACCCAAACTCGTCGAAATGTGCCAAATAAGTACCCGAACTTATAATTGTGTCTAATCAGTACCTCAACTACTATATTGTGACAAATTAGTACCCAAACTCGTAAAATTGATGTCAATTCCCAATTTTATGCCTAACGACGTTTATTGTCATGTTTCTCGTTAATTCTTTGATGATTTGGATGACACGTCAGTGATTCACGTAGGATTTACAACTTAAACTCTGGTTAACAATACCAACAAAACCGGTTCCGAAAAAATCCCTAAATTAAAATTAGGGTTTCTATCTTTTACTTTAACTCTCACTTTATGTTCCACCACCTCTCTCTCTCTCACCGACGCCATAGTCCATCTCTCCTTCAAATCATAATCAGTGTGCCTCTCCATCAGTCAGTACTCTCTCCCTGCACTTTTCTTCCCTCTTCACCGTCGTCGATTCCTAACCGTGCCGGAATCGATATCTCGCAGCCTTGAATACCGAAGATTCCTGGAACATCGAAGATTCTAACAAGCTTTCCTGATGAGCAATATATCCGACGGTACGTCAAAATCCAACAAAAAATCACAGTGGAAGAGAGCGAAATCAAGCTCTCGGAAGGGTTTTCCACAACAATGTGAATGTGGAACTCATGTTTTGAAGTTGACATCTCGGACGCAAGACAACCCCGGAAGAATATTTTTCCGATGTGCTTCACAGGAGGTAATATTTGTACTGAAAAATTGTAGTTTCGGTTAAGAAAATGATTTGTTAATGTTTATGTGTTAGGACAATCATCTTTTCAAATGGGTCGATGAAGCAATGATCGAAGAAATGGAGGAATTCCAAAAGGAAGTCGATAAAATAATAGCTGATGGTGATGCGATTAATGCTAAGATTACACAGCTCGAAGCCAAAATCGACGAAATGAATAACAAAGGGTTGAAATTGGCTGATGGTGATGGATTTGGTTGTTGTATCATAATGTAGTTGAGTATGTTAGACTAAGTTTATTGATGTAGTTTTATGTTTATTGATATAGTTTTATGTATGAACTTGAGGGAGTTGGTTGTTCTATTTTGATAATAGTAAGTTATTGAATTTGGAACATGACTTGAGTATATATGTTTCGGAACAGACAATTTTGTTTTGGGTATGTATATACATAGTATGTTTATTCTACAACTGAAACGCATAAACGAATGCTTATACAAAGCAGCTTGCATCAAAACCCAAGACCACTCACATACCCATAATATATGTTTCAAAACAGCAATTGTCTCAAAATAGCATAATTCAACATTTCGTGTCTCAAAATAATAAAAGCAAACTAACATTTAACAATCACTTCCTCGAACTTCATTTTCCTTGAACTTCTTTCCCTTTGCTTTGAGTTGGCCGAGGTATTTGAAAACGATTCTGCGATATTCCATATAAAAGCTGACGACGTCTGCTAGTTTGGGAAGCCCATATTTGCATTGTCTGACTTGATTAGGTTGGTTGTGAAGTACATCCGTCTGAGTTAACGCTGGTGTGTGTATTGGACTGACTGTTATGCACGAAAGAAGTTGTTTGTCTTCGTTTTGATGCATTGTTACTTGGTTCTCCTTGTTGTACATCAAAACATGTTAATTTGTCAGAAAGATTATAAACCAGAATTTGATAATAGTCGCAATCACATACCACTGGTTCGTTCTTGCATGTCTTTGCATCATGTCCACCTTGTCTGCAACGCCTACATGTTATTCGCCTTCCATGACGTGTCAAGTGACCGGTTTTTGATGGAGATTCATGGGGATCCTTTATTCTCTTTTGTTTTTTGGGTCGACCTGGCATCTTCTTATCAGTCGGGACACCAATTGGAGACTTGCCTGTTTTTTCCCGCATTGGCTCACCATTTACTGGCATTATATTCCTCTGGTATGTTGATTCCCATGTTGTCTTGAGAAAGTAGTGTGAGACATATCAGAAAATATCGTGACAAGGTTATGTAAGACATAATCATTCAATCAATTTCAGACAAAAACATGTAATATAAATTGTAACTTACTTAGAAAGATCATCCCTGAATGACAGAAAGTGCATGGTGACAAGGTAAATATTGTCATTATCTTTTTTAAATTATCAACAATTTAAGTCTTCATCTTCTTCCAATAAAACTTTCAAAATTAAAATTATTTTGTGTCTTCATCTTCTTCACAAAACTATCTTCTTTTTTTCTTCATTTTCATCTTGAGATTTTGTTTGGATTTTGAATAGTGATGAATGATAAATTTGATCAAATATAAAGTTATTTGGAGTTTAGTTTTTTAATTTATTTTATGATAAATTAAATAAGATAAAAAAAAAGGTAAAATTGAGTTAATTGTTGAATAATTATTAAAGTATAAAAATATGAAAACGTGTAGAATTATTATACATATAGAATACTTGACTATTATTAAATAAGGGTATATAAGACTTTTTTTATATTTTTTAAAAAATGTGAAAAATTCTAAAATGATAAGTAATTATTTAGAAACAGAGAGAGGGGGGGGGGAGTATTAATTAACGTGGGAAAAATAAAAGTTACTGAATGCAAAATTCATATATTCAGGATAGTTAGTAAGTGATGTAATTATTGAAATTTTGTCTTGCTCATTTAATTAGCGAAATAGGTTGGGAAGCCCGAAAATAACAGACGAAAAGGTGTCTTTTGCAGTATTTGTATATATAGATGTGATACAACTATAAGCGCGCGCGCGCACACACACACACACACACATATATATATATATATATATATATATATTAATCAATAGGACCGGTTTGCATCTAACCGGATTCAAGAGGAGTAAACCGGAGAGTGAGAAGCAAACAATGAGACAAACTGGTAAAATTATAAGATGAAGAAGTATATATGTATGGTAAACTTACAAGAGTTGTAGCTAACAATGGCAGAAATCAAACAAACAATTAAGAACAAAACATAACACCATATCGTGCAGTGCAAAAAAACAACAACGGTTTAATTAATTACATTGTATTGAGTATATATATATATATATATATTCCATTGGATGTAAAAATACTAAGCGTAGTATGTCCATCAAGCTGGGATCTCAAACCTCGAACACTTGATGGATCCAATGGAGATGTCGATTTCGATCAGGTTATCCTCTTCGACCAAAAGCTGATCAAACAGCCTCAAGTCTTGGATGTTCTTGTGATACATTTTGTTCTTGTTACTGTACCCTTTGATGGTATTGTCGTCATTGCCGTAGTTTCCGAGGTAGTGGCCGCTCGGTAAGGAGAGCTCTATGAGACTTTCCTCGTCTGAGATCGACCCATCATCATCATCGGAGATGTCGTCGGTCGTTGTTGTCTCCATGTACTCCGATGAATCCTCGGTATTAACGGAGGATTCGGACTCATCAAGAATCGGCAGCTCTTTTTCTTGTTCTTGTTCTTGCAGGTTGTCCTTGTCTTCTTGTATTGAAGCCATGGAAGTGTTTTCTTGGTTCGGGATCAGGACAGTGAAGAGGAAGAAGAAGAAGAAAGAGGACAAGAACAAAACAGCGGATGAAGTTAGGAGGACTTGTAAGAAGCTAGCTCCAAGGATGTGGAGAATTGTTGGGCCGAGAAGGGAAAGCCAAGAACCTGGTTTCCTCAAGAAAAACGAAACGGAACCCATCCAATCTTCGACTATGTTTTCAAGATTCATGGTGAAATCAACCAAGCTTTTCCACAAGGAAAACAGTTCCAAGAAAGCGGAGAGAATGGAACAATGTAAAAGTAGAGAACTAGAATCAAGAAGAAATGCAATTTATTAAGGTTAAGATTGTTACGTTTTCAGCCAAAAAAAAAAACCGAAGGAAAAACAAGATGGGTTTGATCTAGAGATCAAACCAATGAAAAAAAATGGAAAAAAAAAATAGAGAGATGATTTGGAGCTAGGGTTTGGATCTTGATGCGGCAAAAAAAGGGTTAGGATTAGGATTTGATTCATATATATGTATAAAGGGCGTTAACAAAAGAGGAAAGGAGGTTGTATAATCTATGGTGGAAAATACCAAATTGCAAACCCTATAAATAGGAATACCACCATGGAAATCTATAAACTAAAGAATGCATGTGAGAAGAAAACCAGAAACCAGTGCGCTGTTTTATGTTTCTGCTTCGAGATTTGAGGAGCAACAGCTCGGACCTGCACTGGCCCGATTCGCGAGGATATATATTGGCAACAATTACAATGTGCTATATATAAGCTCTTACCCAAAAAATAAACAAAAAACAATGTGCTAAGCGCTTCATATATGACTTGTATGAATATATATATATATATATGTATTGGCTTGACAATTATATTTGTTAGTCTCCGACTAACTTCTTGAGAGAGTTGGTAAAATGAAAGAAATATTTAAGGAAAGATCATGAATTTGATCTATTTTTGTTTACAGAGGTGGGTACAAATAAGATTTTTGTTGGAGGTATCCGTCTCCGTCGTCGTCTTCACGAATTTAAGAAAGTATTATATCGTTTTCGTGAAATTCGGATATCCACGGTCCAAATACTCGATGATAAACTCAACTAAGCAAAGTAGTTGAATCCTTCAAAATTTTGAAAAAACTGTTGACTTTTGTTGACTTCAAAATGATATTTTATTTTTAGTAATTTTTTTTGAAAATATATTTAGATATATTATCATAAATATGTTAAACTACAAATGATACGAACATTATTTTATTCATAATCGGTATCCAATGGTAACCCATTAGCGTTACAAAACCCGAACCCGAACCAAAACCAAATCGACCCAAACAATTACAAATCTATTCTCTAAACCGTCCGTATTTATTTATATCTACACAAATTCTTCTCGTAACAATAACGGTCTAAACTTTTAACAATATTTTGTAACCCATATTCGTGAGTTTACTAATTTTTCAATCAAGAACGAGTAGGATATAACTTGCATTAAAACATATATATATATATATATATAATAATAAATTTATGTGGTCGGTGATTACTGAAATGTATTTGTCTGTGTTATGTATATGACTTAACAGCTATATAATTAACATAGAAGCTACATTAGTCGTACCAAATAGTAATTTTCCTCCTAAATCGAAACCGTCGGTTTCGTGTCTACGTGAGAAGATACAAAATCCGAATACGGATTTTATATTTTATTGGCTGCTTGGAAGGTGGTGAATCTGATCAATCCACTCGTCAAAAGAGATGGATATAACATATATATATATATATATATATAATATACATTTGTTTTACCAACAAAAATTACTTATATATATATATATCTTACAAAATAATAAAAAGAAAACCTCTGAAATTGATTCTCTTTTGGAAACCATATCAAGAAGAAGAAGAAAACCCTAATATTATAATCCTTGTATTTGGTGTTACGGTTTCTTCGAGGCCTTGGAGGGTGGGCAGCCATGTGCCACCTTCTGAGATTACCACCTGGCGACATATTAACTCCATCCCACAAAAAATTATATTGTAACCCTAATGGAAAATAAAATTGCAAACCCTAAATATAAGTGACCTACAGATAATATATGTTGTCATTGGCCATTGGTATTGAGTAACATTTTTATTTATAAATTGTATTATGAAATTTATAACCATCTTAACTATTGCTTTTTATAACCATCTCTCTACAGTTTATGAAATTTATAACCATCTTACTATTGCTTATTATCGTTCTGAATTCGATCCTGATAAAAAAAATTAAAATGTCCAAAGTCATTAGTTATTCCGGCACATAATCTGTTTCAATTCTACTTTTGTAATGAACCAAACATTCGAAGTATAATCTAACATATACATATGATCTTATAAAAAACATATACATATGATATATGAAAAATCTGTGCATATTAATTAGTAGTGAGAAAATTAATTAGTAAAACAAATTAATCTTTTGGTTTTGGTGATGACAAAATTATTGAACTGGGATCTTTCTCAGAGAAGGTCATGAGTTTCATTTATTTAATGGTATAAATCCTAATTTCAAATTTCCTGAAACGAATACAATCCAATTTGAATGTTGAGATTTAGCGATACACACTAAAAAGGTTAGGGTTAGAGGTTCATCATTTAATAGAAAAAAGATAAATATTTTTTTTTATCTGAAAGGCTTATAATTGTAATGACTTTAAATTTTACATTTTTAAATTGGATCGTTGAAAAAAATATATATATAAATTCTATATATGTCTATATAGAAAACTGTAGGGATTTTGAACCCGAAACCTCACCGGCCATAAAATTATTAAACCTCGTGTGTATACGAAAGACTAAAATGTGTTGAAATAAGAAAATGAATATTTGATTGAAAGAAAATATAGATTTTGATTTTTACCAAAAAAATATATAGATTTTGAGATATTATTTTCAACAATAATGAACCAATATTATGTTAAATATTATATATCATATTTGTTTCCGTTATAAGTTATTCCATTCGTTTTTATTTTTCTTTCTTTCTTATTTAATTTCTTCAATTTTATATTTCTATATGGTATAGCAGGGTTCGATCCGCTCTATATCTTTTTTATTTTTTAATCTTTTTTTTAAGTTTTAGATGTTCATATATCTAAATCATTCAAAGAAGAATAAAAATCCAAAATCAAATGAGGTGTTGTGCGAATACTCCAAGATCAAACGAGATGTTATGACAAAAAAAGTTAAAGATAGAACTTTAAAGTTAAGCGAATTGATTCGAAAATGAGTAATACTCTCTAAAAAGACTAAATTCAAATTTGGTGTTTGTGGATTTTTCTAAAGATAATGAAAATATCTATGGATTTTTTTATTGCATTATCTTTTCAAAACTGACTTTGCATTCTCTCAAAGTTAATTTTGTGAGGAATGTTGAAATAGAAAAATGAATATTATACCGGAAGAAAATATAGATTTTGAGATATTATTTTCAATTTTAATTTATATCTATATTTTCTTTTTAATTTATTTGTTAATTTTTTTATAAATATATAAATTATTTTCATTATAATGTATCAAGAAAAAAAAGAAATTTAACAATAAAGTAATTCTGTTCTTTTTTTTATTTGTCTTTCTTTCTTATTTAATTTTCCCAATTTTATATGTATTTTTACAAAATGTTCATAAATTTACAAAATTGATCTCCCTTCCCAATTTTAAAATATATCGATTAAAACAAATAAAATTAATAAAAAAATAGTATGGTTAAGTTGATTGGGTCATGGGTTTTTTACTCAAATGACTCACTTGGGTCGCACCTATTTCACGTGTACACCAGAAAAAACATAACACTTTTTTTTTAAAAGACGAAATTACCCTTAATGAATACATGATTTTTATCCGTTCGAAAACAACTTTGTTATTACGACTTCGTAATTAATTCTAAATATAGTTGCAATTGATTCTAAAAAAAGTGGCAAAAAAATCATCTGTCTTATTTTAGTGGTATATCAGTTATATGTTAGTCGTAATAAAGTCGCAACAATAAAAAGAAAAGGGTATTTCGGACTTTTTCAACCAAAAAATGGGTTAAAATTGAAATTTTTTTTTTCGGTGGTGTACGTTGAAATAGGTGCGACCCAAGTGGGTTATTTGAGTAAAATTCCCCATTGCATATGATGATTGAACTAGTGTCCTAACATCATATTTATCTATAATTAAGTTCTGAATATATCAGAATAGTATGGAATTAATTCTTGGTTAACACTTTTAACATACATAAATATGGAAGAGAGAGTAAAAAAATACATGAACTTGAATTATTAATCAATTTTTAGCAATAATAAAAAAATATATAAAAAATGATAATTGTTTTGGAAAATAATCAAACTATATGCGTAAACCAGTCTATTAGAATAATAATGTGTGTATATGTTATCTATATATGTTTATGTCTAAAGAGTGTGTGTATATTACATCCCACTTTGAGTGTAACGAAAACAATTGGATATATATATATATATGTATGTATGTATGTATATATATATATATATATATATATCATTGTTTAGTTTGAGTTACCACAGCACAGATCGAAAGGTTGAAACCGTCATGGATCGGATTTGCATCAAATTGGGAATGCCGCGAAATGGTCCACAAGTATATAATATTGAAAAATCCTAACAAAAACTAAAATTAATCAAAATTTAAATACGTAGAAAAGTTTACAAAAAATTATAGACTCCACAATGTATTTGTTTCAGTTGCGTAATGCATTTTAATAACTCATTTACACTCAACATATGAAATTTTGCACCTATATATAACATAAAATAAAAAATGGAATTTGATAAAATTAATAGAAACGATAGAGAAAATATCGTCTAAACACTTCAATTTGTTATCAATTCCTACATGAACTTTAAAATTATCAGAAAAATAAAGGATTTTTTTCGATTTTGAGTTAAATAATTACAAAAACTCTCAAAAATTGACATCATTTTTTTTACGTAATCTAAAAGCTAGAAGCTGACTTAGAAATTGAAAAATCCAATTAGTAGTATACGTCAGCTGCCACATAGGAAAATACTATGACATCACCAAAAAAATTAAAATTAAAAATACATAAATATACATATTTACACATATATACACATATACACATACATACTCTCACATACATGTACATAAAAGATATGCATGCTTATCTACACACACATATACACATATACACTTACATATATATATATGCATATACACATAACACATACATACATATATATATATATGCTTATATACATATATATATATATATATATATATATATATATATATATATATATATTATACACACATATGTATAGGCATGTATTATTTGTTTGTGTAAACATATATATATGTATGTCAGTATGTGTTTGCATATATATATATATATATAAGCATGTATATATGTGAATATATACACACACACACGTGCGTTGTAGGTAGCGTGGTCACTGATTGGATTTTTCGGTTGCCAACTTAGCATTTGGTAATCAAATTCCATCTAAAAGAAAACAACGTCAAGTATTGTGCAGTTTTTTAAAAAGTTTTTAAAAAATTATGATTTTAACTCTCAGTCGAAAACAACGTCAATTATAATTTTTACTGTTAATAATACGGTCATTTATAAATAAAATATAGTTTATAGATTTGTTTTTGGATAAATAGAATATCTTTTAAAAAAAAAGGAGTTTGCAAGAAAGAAGGTGCCACTTGTCGGCCAGTTGCAAAGGGAGGTGAAATTGAAAAACAAAGACAAAAACCTAAAACAAGGTAGGGTTTTGCTTGCAGTTTTGGCTACAACGCACCTTGAAAGCAATTATTAATTAGCTTAATTAATTCCTGCTAATCCCTTCGTTCAAAGTTAATCAGTTAATTATGCCTGGGGAAATGTTAATTAACTCGAAAAAGGGATGTTGTTTACCTACGACTAACGAGTGAGCCAAGGATGGGGACCATATCAAATTGTCGTTTCCTCACAAATCACAATTATAAAGCGATTTAATTAACATAATCGTTTTATTTTTTTTGTAAAATTATATATATTTGGTGAGGGGACCCCATACCATGCGTTGGAAATCCAAATCAAATCTGATTTCACCAACACCACATTTCAACATTTACATATTCACTGAATATGTTTAATAATTTATGCGTATATCATTATTCTAATAATCAATGTAAAACAAATATGTAACGACGAATGAATAATTAAAACTAAAAAATGAAATATTCTTAGAAAACAAAGCCAAATCGATTCCATCCGTAATTTTTGTTTTCAAATCAGTTTTCTTAATCTAACCGATCGAGGGTCGAATATTGGGGATGCAAAAACGAATATTCGGCGAATATCACCGAATTGAAAACCGATTACGTACCCTATATATATATATATATATATATATATATATATATATATATATATA